CAGCTGAAGGGCTACTGACACCGTGGCTCTCGTGGCATTATGGGCAGCAGCCCTTGCCCCATGGGCGCTCCGGGCATTCGTAGGAGGGTAGTGAGGGACTGGGATGTGTATGTTTTGCTCAAAGTACTTACTTTGCCACTGAGAAATATGCAGAACATTATCCTAGTTGATATGTCATATTAAAAAAACAAAACAAAACAAAAAAACCCCCAACCCAAACAGTAAAGTACTGAGTGCTGCTGCTGGTATTTAATATTCAGAGCAATGCTCTGCTGAGGCTCTCTTGTACTCTGGTGCAAGCGAGGGGAGCTTCCTTGCTACTGGCAATAAAACCGACCCAGGAGAGATTAAGGATTATGATGGCAAAAGAAGAGTGGAAGCACGGTTCTGTGTCGCTTGAATACTTTAAAATGGTCATTAGCAGACCCCCTAGGCTCCCAGGTAAAAAAACGTATCTTTATGAATTCCCCAGGTAGCCCATCTCTTCTAGCTACACAGCCTGTCTGCTGGCAATCCCAGGGAAGGAGCACTCCTACTTCTTTGGTTTTTTCATGTTTTCTTTGCGACAATGAGGGCTGTGAAGTTAAATGCTTCTAAAAATATCTATTTTACACACAGATATCCACATAGAATGAGAAAACCATTAATACAGTGTATCCCTGTGTATTCGGCTCGCTTGTATTCAGAGTACTTGCAGAGAAGAGGAGAGAGAGTTCATTGCTGCTTGTTCTGTTAACGATGTCTCTCTCATACAACAAGGCATGTATAAAGATATAAAAATACTAAGTCAGATATTTTCTTTTGTCACTGGAAATCTGCATTCTGAACTTCAGGGGAGGTATCTCATTATTCTTAAAACAGGTTACTTTTTGTCTCCAAAAATCAGGAACTCAGGGGAAAAAAAAAAATTAAAAATGTTTCAGCTTTCTCAGTGGTCATCCCCGTCTGAATAATACTTCTCCTTTCTCCACACATTGCATAATGAAGAACCAGACTACCAAAGAGCAGGTTGATATTTTTTTTCCTCACTCCCCATATTTGCCAGGAATAATGGATCTTCTCTTTCTCTTCTGCCAAATTCTGAACTTTAAGAGCACTTACAAAGGCGTGCAATTCTGTGTGACAGTATCAGTCATTCTTCCTCAGGTGTGGCATCTCTAGTGGGGGCAACTAAAATGTTAGTTTTCAATTTACCTGTTCAGCTCTAAAGATACTATTGGTTTAAGTATCTGTTTTACTGGAATTCTCCAGGTGTTTGGCATCCTGTGGATGGCCAAGCTTGGCTTTGAGAGACATGGACTGCTTCCTAGAGCCCTGTGGACTGCAAACTGACATCTCACAAAGTCGGCTTGAAACCCAGTGTTTTAGTACTGTTTCCAGGTGTTGTGGTGCCTGTGTTTGGATCATATTACTGAGACAGAGTAATTTAAGGAAAAAACACAGTCATGTCATGAGCTTCACTGATAGCCAGAGGTCCTGAATCAGACCTTACACAAGAAGAAGATTTAGTTTCCTAACCTTTATGTAATTACACAGTACAAATATTATGATGCCAGTCTAGAAGGACTCCAACGTGTTGTCCGGTGAAACTGAGACGTGCTCCATGAAAAGAGAAGGTCCTTAAGCAGGGTCTGATATTAACTATTTCACCTAGTCATACTGAAGACCTATAGGGCGTATATGACCCCTGCTTTAACAAAGGTACAGATCCCACACGACACACTTCCTTGATACCATCAAAAACCCAAAGCCTGATGTTTCATTAGCACCAGCAATGGGCTCCAGACCCCAAGGGTGCTGCTTTGAATCCTCACTCTGTTTTAGTCAGTGTAATTTAACCATGACTTCATATATCCATCATTCACGCATGTTCTCAGCAAAGTTTGCGTGTTCAGGCTGTGCTAATAGATGTTGCAGTAGTGTATTTAAAACTAGGAATATGAAACTTTTTACTTTTCAAGTAAAATTACCACAGTGTTAATGTATCCAGACTAACAGTATGTTTGCACTAATACAGCAGTCCTTTAGAAAGTTTGCAGTAAGAACAAGTGATTCGGATTAAGAGAGCTCCATTTAATTTGTGTTGCATGTGCTTGTTCAATGCTTTCTACTTACAGATAAAATAGTGAAGTCTGTCCAGTCCTCTGTTGCATTCAGCTTTGTTCTGCAACAAGGTTTGCCCCCTAGGATGTGTGGAGCAGGGTGTCAAGAGATAACTGATAACTACTCCATTTAAATGATTGATATTAGGAGTACAATTCTGACTGTAAGGAGAGTGAGCAGAAGAGCTTTGTTTCTAAGTTCAAATTACAGTTAAAAACAGTTATGTACATCATTCCTCAAATGAAAGCATAGCTGTCAATGTAGGAAGGGGACAGCCAATTATTGTTCAACAGATGTTGCGGACAGATCTTTGTAATATTGTAGTTGCTTCTCTTCTTTTTCCTCATCATAATGTTTAATCAGCTTTACCATCATTTTAATACCTAAGGGGATAGTTGTGACTAGGACCTCCTGTTCCAACAAAGCTGTTCTAACAAAGAACAAAAGGGCACCTCCATCAATTCTACATATAAATTATCTAAGAACAACTGAGAGACAGCTATAGAAACAGCTATAGAAAGGGAGGGTATGAGGGAACTGTGAACCACAACATTAAAAGGCTTCCCTTGGGGAAGGAAGGTCTCTTTTTGGGTTTCAGGAAATTTGTTTTTAACATTAAAGAGATTGTGTTTTACACTCCATTGAGTATTATGTGTTACGGGAATAACAGAATTTATTGTACTATTTGTTTACAGAGTGAAACAACAACACAAAAAAACCCCATCTTGGGTGAAACTGTAGCCTTGCTGGCAAAATTCCCACTGACTTTATTAGTGCTAAGATTTTATTCCTGACTCTCAACCAGCATGTGCTGTGTGAATGCAGAGAACACCCCAGAGTTGTCCCATAAAGCCTCAGAAAGTGGTCTCTGGCGTTGAAACTCCCGATGTAGAAGCACTGGCTTGTTCCCTGTGTTCAGCCTGCTTGACAATTTTCAAGTGAAGTGTAGTTTTGAAGTGTTGTTTTGCAGGGAGCAGTGCAGAGAGCACAGTCGGACAGCTTTCTAGGAAAATAATCTTTGGCTGAGGAAAGAAAAATAAATTGGCCAAAGGATGTTCACTTGAAGTTGCCAATGGAAGTGTGGTGAGACGCTTTAACTCTATCGCAGCTCAGATAGACCCAGCTGAGGAGTGGGGAGGGTTTCCATGCTGGACCAAATCAGTGATCTGGAGAGTTGGGGGGTGGAAGGAAGGTGACTGCTTCCCCAACTACTAACGACATAGCAAATGAAGATTTGCTATCCCCAGGGAGAGAACAAGCATAGTTTGGCACTGGGAGTTTGCATCATTAGCATTTGAGGATGAGTCATGTCCTCAGATCTTGACCCACTGAGTATGCAAATCTTTCTCCTTTTTCCCTTTTGCAGTTTTGTGTTCATGTCAGGCAGCTTTCTCTTAACACATTTAATAGAAACACTGGATTGGCCATCACTTCAGAGTTCATAATTTTGTTTATCACACTGTTTTTTTAAATTCTTTGCTAATTACCCTGAATTTTTTAATTTCTCTTCATACAGAAACTGCCCCTCTGGTTTTCAAATTGCATCAGTTTCTCTTTTTAGGCCATTTTTCTTTTTTTTTATATGCTATTTATCTATGTACAACAATGAAGCCTCATGGGTTCAAAAATCTAAACGTTTTTGCCCTCTTCTCTTACATGCCCAAAACAGAGGACTGAACTGAGATACAAATTAATACAAGTGTGGACTCAGGACCAGACTTCTTTTGAAAGGTGTGAACAAACAGTACAGTCTCTTACAGAAGATTTTAGGGCATTATGAGATAATAATTTTTCTGCTTCAGCCTATATTAATCATTTGCCTTTTTTTGATGACCTAGAGCTAGTCCTAGAGGGACTGAGACCACCTTTTCCTCTGGGAAAGTAAAATAAAATAAAGTAAAATAAAATAAAGTAAAATAAAATAAGGTAGATAAAGCACTTCATCTTCTCCCATGAAATACATATGATTTACATAGCAGGAGAGGACTCTGTGCAAGGGCTTTTCACCAGCCTGCTAATGAAGGAATCGAGGAAATTAAAAAGATGCTGCGTATGCTCCCCTCCCCCTTACTTCTTCTTCAGTGGTTATTTTCTTTTTCTTTCTCTCTTCTCTTTGCCAAAAATTTCATATGTCCAGAGAGTGGTCAAGAGCAAATAGATAATGGAAAGCAGAGCACACCATATATCACAGTAACGCTTACCTGCCAAACCCACAACATTTTAACTGGGGTTGAAACAACCCCCTGAAACTTTACTAATCAAATACTGCAGAAGATTCCCGAGAACCAGAAAATGAAGCTGAGGAGAAACGAAAGTGGACTGGCAATGCTCTCACTGTCCAAGACGAGGGCCGTGCTTCGTTTAGAGAAGGCATTAATAGTGAAAACCTAATCCAGCCTTCACATTTCTTTGAAACACCTAACGTGCTATTTTGCGATGCAATTTAGTATGCGAAAATACGCCGGGTGGAAATGAGGAGCTCGGCGCTCTTTGTGCAGATACAGTACACACCGAGATTCTTGCGGGACTGCAGCCAGGTCGCTTGGGAGCGAGCACGCAAACCTCGTGTTCAGCCTCCGGGCGGCGAGCGCTCGTGCCAGAAGCATGATTAATCCCAGCAAAGGAGGGTGTTTATGGGGTGTCGCAGTCCTGGCGGAGCTGCCCCTTATGGATGCGCACCAGGCAGCTGTGTTTGGACCCAGGCGCTGGATCCGTGTGCTCCTCCATTCCCCTGGGCCTGGGCAGGCTCCAGGCGCTGGCGGTGGCCCCAGCCTCCCGGGCACGCTGCCCAGGAGTGCTGTTGTGCCTGTACCTACTGTTGCCCCCTCTTTCAGCCCTCCGCTTGGGGCCACTGATACACCGCAGAGGTTATAAAGGGTTATTTGCACACTGGCCACATGGAGCTAATTGACTTAACGTCGGGGATACAAAGCAGAACAAATGTCGATACAGTTTTCTTCCTCTTGGGCCCTGGAGCATTTCCTGGATTCCGGACGGTGCCGTAGCAGCCCCGGGTCCCCTCCCTTGTACCCTAGCGCTCCCGTTTAGCCTTCTCTTCCCAAGTTATAGACTTACCTCTAACTCCTCTGAGAAACTCCCTTCACTTTTCTGAGCTAAGTCAAGGTACTTTCTGGCTTGAAGACCATTCCTTCTTAGCGTGCTTTTTCCTAACACTTCTCTGTTTTGCCCTTTTACTAGCAGTTTGCCTTGACTTTGTTTTGGGACCTTTTACGAACAGGTGTAAAGTAAATCTGCTCTGCTATAAGCAGCATCCATCTTACCTGAATGGAAGATCATTTGCTTTAAGTGTTTGTATTGATCTCTGTTGTACTTTTTCAGCGTTAGTCTAGGAGGTACCTCACTCATTCCATATTATCAAAAGCTTGTTTCAACGATATAGCATTTTTATACAATTTGCTGAATTTTGTCCTTTCCAGTTAGAGAAATTTCACAAACTACCAGACAGAGTCAGGGCATGAATTACCGTCCTAGTCCATGATCTGTGGTCAGTCTTTTCATTCTCCAGGTTTTGCGACATTAAAACTATTAATTCAGTGTTAGAAATAATTATTAGCTCATAGAGCAGAAAACATTTGTAATGTGGGCCACCTTATCCTTCGGTAAGTTTATTTCTGACTTTGCCTCTTACTTCATAACTCAGAGAGCATACTTTTTATTTTGTAGTCACTCAAGATTTATGAGTTTGGGTTTATGTTTAAAAAGCTGCGATGGGCTGGGTAGGAAATTTTACCACATTCTGTTCCTGCCTTTCTACTTGCAATTCACAAAACCTGTATTTGGGGTATTCAAATCTAATCGCACATCTAATTCCAGGATCTAGAAGCCTACTTCGGTATCCCTCAAACACAAAGATATACTAGGATTTGTGTGTACTTGTAATATAACAGTGAGCTACTCTTTATCTGGAGCTCCACTGGTACAGTAGGTGCTATTGCTGGTATCTTTGTTACCGCTGAGGCAAGTCTATTTGCTGTGCAGAAAACAGTGGCGTTATCAAACATAAGTGAGCAAGAAAAGAATATGAAGAAGACAGTGTTTAGGTTCACTTGTCATGTTCCTACCATAGGAGGAGAACTTAAGAAGTCAAATTGCCTCTTCTTACAGAGCTGTTACCTTTTTTTTTTCCCAGGCAGGGAGCAATGTCAGCTCCCATGCAGAATAAAATTATGAAACTCATACCACACCTGGAAACTATCCATGGTCTTTGCCTTTGTGGAATCCCTTTTCTTGACCTTGTAGCCTCAAATATGAAAAGCTGCCACACACACTCTCTCTGGCTATAGACACTCCTGAGATCCTATTTCAAATGAGTTGGGGTTTTGTAGGGTATGTAATACCTGTGCTGAATTTTTCTTCCCCGTGTGCCTCTCCTTCTCTTTAAATTCCATCTGACTGCCATCCAAAGTTTCACTCCTCTCCACACATGGATCTCATCAACACAAAAGGGAAAATGGTAGGAGAATACCTGTTCAAGGAAGGGCTTTTCCAGAAAAAAAGGAGAGATCTGGATGCTTGGCTTCCTCTGATGATGCGGACTGGAATTCTGTCCAGCGTTAGGGCAAATCCTGCTAGATCTGTACATGCTGCCCCACAGTGTACTGAATTCAGGAGCTCTCTGCCCAGGTTACAGATCTGATGTGTTATTATAGTATATTTGTGACTTAAGATACTTGCTTCTTGTGTTCTTGCACTGTGATTGTTACTTGTTTTTTCTGTTCTACTGCTAAGGATATTTTATTTTGTCAGGTTTGGGATGAAACTCTTGCCAAATCTGCAGAGGCTTGGGCTGCTACATGCATTTGGGACCATGGACCTTCCTACTTACTGAGATTCTTGGGCCAGAACCTGTCTGTAAGGACGGGAAGGTAGGCAGATAGATACCCTACAGAACAGTTACTTTGTCAGCCTTTGAACAGCCTGTGAGATCCAGATCTTAGACTGATGCAGGTGTATTCTAACAATAACTGATATCCATCTATGTTCATTTGGCTTAAGAGTATTATTGCTTAATACTGTGCCCCTAGTGATACGTGGAAAAATGTGTATTTAGGTGAATTACATCAGAGGCTTTAGCAGCAGAAAGTTCCAAAATACCTAAATCTAAAATGACATATTTTTCTTTCTGTCTGTTAAACAAACCTAGGTATCGATCTATTCTCCAGCTGGTAAAGCCGTGGTATGATGAGGTGAAGGATTATGCTTTCCCTTATCCTCAGGACTGCAACCCCAGGTGCCCCATGCGATGTTATGGACCCATGTGCACCCATTACACACAGGTTATATAAATTATATTCTTCTATTCAAAATCTACCGTCCAAAGCTGGACTTTTCTGTGATGTATTTATAGCTCTCTCTCAAATAAATGTGTGTGTGTATATATATATTTCTTTTCAATTTGGACTTCACCAATAATAAATATTTATTCAGATGGTTTGGGCCACTTCCAATCGTATAGGCTGCGCAATCCACACATGCCACAATATGAACGTCTGGGGATCTGTTTGGCGACGAGCTGTTTACTTGGTATGCAACTATGCCCCAAAGTGAGTTGCTTTCTTTTAATATTGTTTATTTTTATACTTCATGCATGTTTTGGTTCTTTCATAGGACTGCTTACTCCCTTTTCTGCAGCTTGACCTCTGTTTGTGCTTTTTCTGCCAGCTGCTTCTTCATTCTAACTTTACATCTAAACATACAGCAAATGCATGACTTCGGTATACAATGAAGAAAAGGAAATGACTTGATGTGTATGGGACAAAAGCAAAAACTTGTTTTCTGTTATTGTTATTATAATTCTTTTTGTCTTCCTCCTTTGTGCTGACTCCACTTTACTTTCAATTCCTTATTTCTTTGCTGTGTTATATATAGTCGCGGTCAGCTAGACTTCCTTAGGTAAGCAATTCCACTGTAGATCAGGCCCTTGATTTGCTGTGCACACATGTTGTTGCCCACAAGATACCTCTGCTTATGGCCATGCTGCATAATGGCATCCATAGGTTTCCTACAAAGGCCATCTACCTAAGCTCAGTGTCTACGAATCTCATCTTGCCTTCCATATCAGGGTCCTTCACAGACACCCCACGGGTGGCCCCGTGTCAGGTAGCTGTGCAGAGATCTGTGTTAGGTTGAAATAAGATATGAATTTCCTCCCAGTGTTTCCTAGATATCAGCCCAAGCTTACATCTGGGTGCAGAATGAATCAATACAGTGTGGCTCTGGGACAGCTTCGATCTGAGGTCTGGTTTGGAGCAGACCAAAAGCAGCATGGACAGTGTAAATGGCTGGTTTCTCTGCATAATATTAGGCAAAGCCATAGCTCTGTATAGGAATCTAAGTATAATTAATTGAGCATGTTTTCCATAACCTCTCAGTGGCACAGGTCCATTTGTGGTAAAGAATACACAAGAATATGTCATTATTCTAGCTGTTACATGAGTAAAAGAATTTTTCAAGATGTTGTAACTTAAAAAAATACAGGATTTAGTAAGAAAACTGACTTGGAAAAAAACCACCTTTGGAAATCAAGGATATTTCTCTGTCCTTTTGTGTTTAATATCTACTAGAAAAGGGTGGTAAGAAATTAATATGAGGGGTATCAGGCAGCAAAAACTGTATCTGACTTTTAGCTCCTTGACATGTACAAGGTGAAATCAAAGTTTATAAGAGAATCTATAGATCTTCATTTGAAAAAAATATTAAAAATTACCAACTTCCTAGAATACATCTCTCATGTTCATATATAGGTAAAGAATGGTTTTATACATTAGGCAATATTGAAAACTGATGCATTGTTTGTGTATCGGTTAACAATGTATTAATGACATTTAATATTTTCTCAAACTGCAACCCGAAGCCTGGAGTTACAAGCTTCTTCTCTGGATGACATTTTGAGTAGACCTTTGATTCATAGGTGGTGGAATCAGAATTTTCACATCTACTTCTTGCATAGTCATAAGAATTATATTGAGTGTCTTGCCTGGCTTAAGTTTATATTTCTAAGAGTTAATTAAGTTGCATTAAGAACACTGGGTTTAGAGTCCCTGGGCACTCATGCGGAAGTCTTTTTACTAGTCAATCAAGGCTGTGTCCTTCTGAGTAACCAGTGCATCAGAAACTTCCGTAAAGAAGAAGGGGGTGAATGTTACAGCCCTGACCAGAGTTACTAAGATTGGAATTTGGTGAAGATTTAGGATTTAGAACACTAATAATTTTCACTGATACCATCCTGCAATGATGAAAAATATCTATGCTTCTGAAATCAGGAAAAAAAAACTAAGGAGGATAATTACAAAGTTTTAAAAGATCCTGCAGCTGGTTAACTAATGGACTCACGCAAATCAGCCATGCACTGCATAGCAAATGAAGCAGAAATCAGCTTTCAGGAAAGTCTTCCTGGATTTCCATATCTGTTATCAAACTAAATATATTTCCTGAGCACTCAGTCTGCTGTACCCATTTGGAAGAGAAGTAGGAATGAGCAAATTATTTGAGAGAATCCTTCTTTCTTCCAAGGCACAACCCAGACCAGAGCTTTTGATCCAATGTTATTGGCTGGGAGGTGGGGGATGAGAAAATGTTTCATAAATAATTGCATTACTCACTGCTACACCACGTCACATGCAAATTAGAGGAAAGTTCTCTGCTCAGTGAGACATAAGATTTAAATAAAAATCTAATTTTAACTCACTTTCTGCCTACATCACGAGTGTTATGAATCTCTAAAAGCCTAGGGTTTATATAAGCACCTAAAAGTCTGGATGCATTTTTCAGATGTTCCTAGGTCTTTCAGAGTTACCTCTTTTCACATTTCACGAAGTTACCTCTTTCACTCCAGACTTGTACCCCTTTCCACTGGGGCTCTACTGCACAGCTCTACTCCCCAGATGGGAGCCCTCGTCCTCCTCCCTTTAACACCTATGAGACCCCTACAAATGCCCAAATACAGTTCTTTTCAATACTTTACTGGTATGTTTTCATCTTCCCTTTTCTCTACCCATGAACTCAGCCTCAGAGCTTCACCATGTGGACCTAGGGTAGTGCAACCTGAGAATAGATTTTGCTCAGTTTGTTTTTCCACCTTCCAAAACCAAGCTTTTAGGATAACTGCCAGGTAAAAGAAGCGCTCAAGGAAAACCTTGCACTGATGCTTATGTTGCTAATTTCTCATAAATATAGCCCCCCAGTGAAAAATACTCTGTCCCAGGCTCGGAGAGTCAAAAATCACTTGGCTGTAGCAAAACCAAGATGATTGGGACTTCACCACAGACACTAAAGCATATGGAATGGACTACTGGCCTGGGGTGACATGGTCATTCTCCTGCCGGTTTTTGGCAATTATTAGATCAATGTTTGTCAGTAGCCTACAGAAATATATTAATGTATGTTTTCAGTAACAGGGCACTTACAGGATGTCACTGAAGACATTAATCACTCAAAACAAGTATGGTTAATTAATTTTTTTTTCTTCGTCTCTGAAATTACTAAGCATTCTTTTTCCTTTTTTATTTTTAGGGGGAATTGGATTGGAGAAGCACCATATAAAGTAGGAGTCCCATGTTCTGCTTGTCCTCCAAGCTATGGAGGTTCTTGTACCGACAATCTTTGTTTCCCAGGAGTAACATCAAACTACTTATACTGGTTTAAATAAGTTAAGATTTACATTATTTTTAAAAAAAACACCATGAATGAGTAACAAGAAGCTTGTATATTGAATTTTGCACATATTATATATAGAGAGATATTGTAATAATACTCTGATGTTTTCTTCTTGTATGCTTTTGTATAATTAGCTTTCAAAGTATAGTATAATTTGGTTTTAACACTTTGGGATTTAAAACTCACATTAACCCTTTTAGATTAACATTTTGTTAAAGGAGAGCAAACTAATTTTCATCTTAGCAAGTGTAGCTTCCTGAAGATTAGGTTCTGTTAAAAGCACATTAGAAGATAGAATATGACTTCCTTTTAAAATAATAGCTCCAGAAAGAGAAGGGTCATCGTTTAATACTGTGCTTTAAGAACAGAGTGTGATGTGCAAAGCAACAAAATGTCCTCGCACTCCCAGTGGTTCCTCCCGTTTACACCTGTGCTTTCACCTGCAATGTCAGTGGGACCCTGAGCAGAGGAAAACATATGTGCAAGAGAAACTGCAGGATATTACCTACCTCATGCACAACGTCCACTCGTTTATGGCGTTTCAAGAGTTCAGCACACGGCTGCTGCTATCATCAACGATGTCTGTGTGCAGACAGGACAATTAGAGAGAATGAGGAACCACACTGACCAAGATGCTGTGGCTGTTAACTCGCATGCCTAAAGTCTTATCTAGATAGAAAGCTACATCACTTTAAAAATACTGGTATAACAGCACAGCCTAACTCTACCTTCCTGTGTTGCTGAACACAGTCATAACGGTATAATGGTGCTTCGCAGCAGTATATTTTTATTGTACAGGAAGGCAAAGAAATATATTGCTACAAAACAACATAAATCGATACATGACATCCATACTGTCTTTTACACTATAAGTTTGCCAGTATATGTGCTATCCCCCCGACTGAAACTCAGCCAGGTGAAACTTTCAAGGAGAGATCAGACCTAAAAGTAGATAAGAGGATTTCCAAATAAAAGACATCAGGCAACTTTAAAACTTCATACAGATTTGTGACAAAAATTCCAAATTTCTAAAGACATTGGAAGTGTCCTTTAAATTATGTTGCTCTGTTTCCTGAAAATATCTGTATGAATTAATAAAAAATAAATTGTATTTATTCATACCTTTCCTGCCAAAACCTGAACACCTTATGGGTGCTTACTAGAACATTTATAAAGAGGACCTACACTTTAAGATAGAATATTATACAGGTAGCTTTCTTCAAGAACAGATTATAAAAAGGAGGAAATATAATGTCTGCCACAACTACTATGTCATTGAAATAGCATCGAGTTTTGGCTTTATATTACAGGGCAGAATGTACTCCACTTAAATATACGTGTTTAGTCTGCTTGCACTGCTACACTTAGACCTCTGAAATTTATGAACTTTGAAAAGCAATACTGAGTAAGCAGAGCAACAGAGGATAATTTCACCAGAGCTACATATGTATGTGTCTAAGTCACTAATTCAGTCCTTTTGAGCATGCCTGAGACAGTCTGCCACTAGAATATGAAGTATCATATTGGTGATATAAAAAGAAAGATCAGAGTTTGAATTCTTCACATCAGTTATTCTTTTTCTCCAGTAAGATAGCTGTGTGGGAGGACCAGGCTCCACAGTGTATGAAACATAGCAGCCCCTCTCCATCTGTCCATAATCTGATCCCTCAGAGAACATCAGCAACTGATCTGTGGCTCTTCAGACATTTCTGGTTAGTGATACTTCTGTATCTGACAGGACCATAACTAGACAAGTATATTGTCTTAAAATGTGTCCATGTGTAATATTCTACTAACTTCTATTCTAACAGTTACAACATAAATGGTTTTCCTTTTGGTTTCAAAGGGGCTTGGCCTTGGACAGTGTTTAATCAGTCAAGCACTTTGGCTGAGTAAAATCCAGTCCTGTTTTGGGAGTGAAACAGAACCTCTTTGCATCATATATGTACATGTTGAAAAAATTCAGTGAGACAGAACTACTAGGTGGGTCACTAGCCCTCAGCCAGCCCAGTTTTTGACAAAGATGCATGGGACAAATACATCTTTGTTCTGCCTAAGAAGTCTTTACTCTAGAGGTAGAGAGAGCACAGTTAAAACAGTCCATCTAGCCATTTTCAGTATTTTTTTTTTTTTTTTTTAATACAAGATAGGAAGCAGAGGATAAGCAAAAGTTCAGGTTAAGCCGTGGAGCCTACAACAGTAGGTCTAACAGTAAATGACTATGCACTTTGGAACTTGCAACTTGTATGTTGTATGGTACACTTTCCAAACAGGACTAGACATTGTTAATTAATTTATAATTCTGTAATTCAGCTGAAGTTATTATAACGGGTATATATGTTATCGTATCTGTTACTTTTTAAGTTGCTACAAATACCTTAATTTTGTGGAATATTTTTGTTTTCTGTGGATATAGAAAACTTTGCTTTTAACAAACAGGTATGCAGGTTTTTTCACAACATCCCATGATGGTGCTAGGGATTAACTATTGTAATCACACTGTAATTAACAGCAGCAAAAAATTACCTGGGTATAAGCTATTTCATATGAGCAGCTCCTGACAAAACCAGCCACAAGCACTCAAGCATTAACTGAATATTTTTCATTGAACTGAGAGGATTACAGCTCATCAGATATTTGATTACCACATGAAATGTGTCCTTCCACTTTATTTAATAAGTAGTTTACTGAAGCCCTTTCTGTATTACCTATTTGAATCGCCTCAATTTCTATCATCTTTTTTCTCTTGGGTTGGGTAATGACAATGCCAGTAAAACTCTGCTTTGACTGCCAGTGTCAATGCTGCCCAACTGATTACCTGACACCAAGTGCTGCTAGAAGAAAAGTACTGAAATGTTCAGAAGACTTCAGATGTTTTTGGCAGTATATCTGTTCAGATACATGCTGAGGAAAATTCTTGATGAGTTCAAGATTATGCTGAGGCAAACTACCCCCAACTGCTGTTTGGCTAGCCTTGAAGATGTGTACTACTTCCTTCCGAGCAGAGTGGTGTGCCTTTAAAGACAGAGAAATTAGCTCAGTCTTTTGTTCTGTTCTAACTATAAAATTAGGAAAGTTTATACACACTAAAATAAGGCTAAAAATATTTTTGTCAAAATACAGTGAGAGGCGTAAGAGTAAAAATGAAGTAACTGATATAATTAATTATTGAGTGCAGCTGTTTATAATATCTGCTTGTGATTTTTTGCCTCACTTAAACATCTAAGATGATGGGTAGCAAGTTGATACCTTTTGGTGCTAACCTATATGTTCTGGTGCTGACGTTATACATTATTTTTGTGGAAGATGAGGTTTACTTCCAATATTACCATATACACTCCAGTGTTTGTGAGATCTTTTTCAGCTAAGCATATCATTTACTACCACTAGGCCAGATTTGCTTTCAAAGTTCCTATTCATGGTTGTTTCAGGCTCTAATGAGGGTTTTGCGTGCATCAGAGAGGAAAACGTATTCCTGTTCAAAACCAAACCAAACAGCACCCTCCCCTCATCGCAACAGTGAGGTGCCTGTGGAACAAATTATGGGGAGAGTAAGATGTCTGACAGTCATAACTTCAGATTGATGCTGAGCAGGCTTTAGTGATACCAAATGCTCTCTTTGGGGTAATAAATGACTTCAGAAAATATAGGCTTGACCTTGCACACTTATCCTTGGGAAGCTGTGTGTTCCTCTTCTCTGAGATCAGTTTATTCCCTTCTGAATTCGACATAGGTTGGATCAGGCTTAAGCGAAAACCATGGGAGGTTTAACATAAGTTTTGCAGGAGTGAGAAATTTGGATTCCATGAGAGATTTACAGAGAGCAAAATTAGACTTCATGTGCTATCCCCTACCAACACCGGGAAATATCATGGAACTCTGAAAGAGGAAGCATCCCAGAGGAAGTGTGTTCTATACCACAGCTGGGACTTACCAGAAAGAATATATCTGTATCTATATCCATATCTATGTTTATAGTTAGACAGACAGATACATAAACAGATATATCTCTTTGTATATGGTCTTCAGGGATCAGGTTGCAAGCATGGATGCCCTCTTGTGGTTGAGAATGCCGATATATTGGTTTCATATTTATAGGAATCCAAACAAATTTAGAATTTTTTAAAAAGCAGCACATGCAAATTTAGTTTGTTTCCTTTAAAAATTTTGGCCTTGATTTTCAAGACACGTGACTTTGTCCATTTTCTTTGAGAAATGAGGTCCATTGCGTAACTCCACCATTGCTTATTTTTATGTGATTGGTAAGTACAGAACTCAATCACAATTGCATTGGCTGTCGGTTATTTTACCATACAAAGTTTTACGAGTATGAGGTAAAACAGAGCTATTCAGATGTCAGAAGAATTTTCAGAGGCATTAAATCAGATATAGTTATTAAAAAGCAGGGGATGGAAAGCCTCATTACTCAGATACTAAATTCTAACCATCCGTAATAAAATAAGTTTTAAAGCCCCAAATTGCTGTTGAAATTTGCCCATTATTGCTAAGTTTTCAAGACAAAAGTGTTGCTTTCCTAATCTAGAATGAAATGATCTCATAGAATCCAAGCACACAGCATTTTTATGGTACTTTTTAAAACTATGCAAAATAGAAAATTTGTATGCTTTTGTTGCCAGATCATAATTGGTCTGATGGTCTCAAAGTGCACAGACCTTCCTGTTTGGATTCATAAGGAGAACATTAAACTTCTGTCAATAGTAACCTGAAATAACCACAACCTTCTCAAACTGCTTTATTTTAATAGAAAATAAATAAAAAATCAAGAAAAAAAGGTAGCAGCAATCCATCTTGTTAGTTCAACAGATGGTCAATAGTGCATCTGGTTAATTAAAAAAAAAAAAGAATTATGATAATTTCAAGACTTTGTTGCTGCTTAACCTTCATTTACCGAGTCTCCCTCAGGATATAGTTATTTTCTGTTAGAGAATAGCTTTTTCTCATGTTACAAGGCAATGCATTTTTAAGTTCATG